GGCTCGGCCTGGCCGCACCCACGCCTGGGCCGTCACTGGCGGCTCGGCCTGGCCGCATTTACACCTCTCTGACTCTTTGGCAGCCATATGCCTGTGATGTACTATTTACCTCACTTGTGTGTCGCTTTGGACAACAGCATCAGCTATATAAAATAGATGTAAATGTAACTGTATTTTAGTAGGAATGCATGGAGCTGAAGGCAGTGAGGAGCAGGTGGTGCACGCCAGGCTTACCGTCCACAGCTTGTCTGAAGACATCGTCAGGGTGGAGGTACTCTTCTGAAGGATGACGAGCTTCTGTTTCAGATTCTCCTCCCTCCACAGGGCCTCCTTCGCGGCGGGGAGATGAAGGTTCACACACCACATGGACACAACCTCACTTTGCTGTATTTGGATCTACAGGCTGTGCCCAGTCATGCCCAACCTGTACCCACCAGTCTGCCCACAGTTCCCATTCATTGTTCACCCACCCTCTTCCTTGCAATAGATCACTGGAAGCTTCCTACTCGTTTGTAATGATTTACTTGCCTGTAAGTAGTCAGCCAACTGGAGCAGGTCCTAGAGGGAAGGTGGGAGAGAAAGGTGATGACATCAGTGCAGTCTGAAGTTAAATCAAATGCAGGATTTTAATTAATGATAAACAGACAGCTGGCTACAGACTTTAAAAATCCACATATATGTGTGATATGCATGTTATCCCCATTAGTTTGGCACATGCTGAAAATACTAGATGGCCAGTAGCTGGGAACCTTACCGATTTCCTGATAGTTATAAGGCCAGATCTGTAGAAGAAAGGCAGTTTGAGTCATAATGGAAACAGTCACATGACACGGATCTAGGTCCAATGAGGTATTTCCTGTGTTTCACATTACAATCAGATTTTCTGTGGTATTCATACACAGAAAACAGAAAAGGATATGAGTGTATCTAATGTCATCCAGATTGGCTATTGAGAAGAGACCATTTAGATGCCTGTCACCCTCCCTACTGACTAAAGATGATCCACGAGAAATCAGAGAAAATCTGTCTTCAGTATCAACGTATGCAGGTACTTCTGCCAATGCAAGTGTTCCCAAAAAAAACAAAAATGCACCCAACAGGTTTTATACCTGTATTTTTAAACAAAGGAACAGTTTCAATGGATCAATTTCTTTGGTGGTTTGAATTATGAAATATTATGGTCTGCATTCAATAACATGAGCACCTTACAGTGACTGGTAAACTGCCCTGATAGTAACTTGATAAGACATGTGAGACGAGTCACTACAGTCTGAGCAAGACTGCCCTCGCTAGGGCTGCTCCTTAATTATGCTTTAAAGGATAAGCGAATCACCGGAGTCAGAGGAAGACCGCCCTCGCTAGGGCTGCTCCTTAATTATGCTTTAAAGGATAAGCAAATCACCGGAGTCAGAGCAAGACCGCCCTCGCTAGGGCTGCGCCTTAATAATGCTGTAAAGGATAAGCGAATCACCGGAGTCAGAGAAAGACCACCCTCGCTAGCGCTGTTCCTTAATAATGCTTTAAAGGATAAGCAAATCACCGGAGTCAGAGCAAGACCGCCCTCGCTAGGGCTGCTCCTTAATTATGCTTTAAAGGATAAGCGAATCACCGGAGTCCCGCTTTCCATCAGACATTTGTAGAATCGTCTTCCAGCTCTTCGGAGGATAAGAGAAACACAGAAATGCTGTGTCATTCTGGCCGTAGGGTCACGCTGCTGTAGCAGTAAGAAGGTCAGGCTGGACTCACTCTGTCTGAGCACTAGCATCCCGCTGTGGGCGCTGGGAACTCAGCTCTCCATCCCGCTTCTGAGCCCCTAAAGCAGGCAAGCAGCAAGGTTAATGCCGGACACTGGCAGGAAAGAGTCACATGATCATTAATCAGCTTTTGCTGAAGCACGTTTGTTCTGAGTAAGGAAAAACAAGGACCACTTTACAATAAGGCTCCTATTTACCACTTATAAATAGTAGTAACTCATTAATAAAAAGAAAAGTGTTATAACTTGTTTATAATGGTCTATTAACGATTTATAAAGTGTTACAGCATAATTAATAATCTGATTATAAACCATTCATAAACCCTTTATAAAGGTAGTTTTTTTGTAAAGTTGTACCAAAAAAAAATGCAACAGTGCATGTAGAAAAATATAGGTTTTAAATGAATCGGTACTCTGCCTACAGTAATACAGTAAACATTTGGAGAACTCAAAGTAACTGTGTTAAGCTTAGGGCTGTGTTAAGATGGAACTCAACATGAACCCCCATTGGCTGATTGTGAGCTTGAACTTGAGTTTGTTCACCAAAAGTTTGTTGAACTACAAACAATACAAATATATTGCAATATATTATAAACCATTTGCTTGGAAACAAAAGTTCACACTTAAATCTAATCTAATCCAGGTTCACCCAGTGTATCCAAAACTAGCAAAAATGGAAAAGTGTCTTTTTCCAAATGATCTTATTCAATAAGTTTTCAATTCCTCAGTAAATTTTGTTGATGTAAAACAACATAGAATGCCAATGAAATCAGTTATTAATGCTGACATCAATGAAATGAGGCGAGTGTCTTTCTGGTGAATTCTGGGAATGTTCCACATGTACGTTGTGTTAGTTAATAGCGCACAGTTGATGTTGTGGTGCTTCAGCACAGGCAGACTTCCCCGAACGGTCCTACCTGTCTGCCACGTTGTGGTGCTTCAGCACAGGCAGACTTCCCCGAACGGTCCTACCTGTCTGCCACGTTGTGGTGCTTCAGCACAGGCAGACTTCCCCGAACGGTCCTACCTGTCTGCCACGTTGTGGTGCTTCAGCACAGGCAGACTTCCCCGAACGGTCCTACCTGTCTGCCACGTTGTGGTGCTTCAGCACAGGCAGACTTCCCCGAATGGTCCTACCTGTCTGCCACGCTGTGGTGCTTTAACACAGGCAGACTTCCCCGAACGGTCCTACCTGTCTGCCATGCTGCTCTGATCCTCTCCAGCGGGGAGTGCTGACTGAGTCCTGGGGGGCCATGCTGAGATCTGCTCACTCCTTCCCTCCCCAGTACCTTCTCTCGTCTGCTGTGAATTGGCTTCAACCATGGGGCCTAAACTCAGCAACACGGGACACACAACAGGCAGGTCACACTCCAGCCGCTTTAGATACCCTCTCCGTAAATATGCCAATAAGACTATTATCATCTGCCTTTTCTATGGAGGTAACGTCAGGCCATGTGATCCCTAAATCTTCTGCCATGACCAGCGATCGTCTATCCAGTGGGTCGGCTTTACGCGTCTTTTCCCGCAGAATCACTTTAGGTGGGTTTTGGACGTCCTCCTCGATCGCTGACGGCACCACCGTGGGCTCAATTTGCCGCCGCTTCCAAAACTCCGTCTGCCGCTTCTGCTGCAGCTCGGCTCGTCTCCATTCCGCGTCGTGCCGTCGAGCCAGGCTCCGGCAGCTCGTCACATTGTTGCGATCTCTCAGGAATTCGTGCTTGGCTACCCTTTGGTCCAGTTTCTGGTCATACCCATCTGTCGCCACCTTTGACCTCTGTGTGTTTCTGGTGGGTGTCATGGCAAAATCCGGACAGCTGCTAAGACACCGTTGACTGCTAATGTCTTGTGAATGGTGACAGTTTTTCAGTGATGCAGTTACCTGAACTGAAACAAGGGGGAGGGTCAGAAAAACCCCGGCGGACACATGTGGATGAATGCATTTTTCTAACATGCTCATACATTGAAGCTTCACTAGACAAGGAGGAATTTGCATAGCTATACATTATATCACTGTAGTGCATGTTTATCGATTTTTGTTTACGTCATACCAAATGGGCTTTAAGGTAAAAAAAATCTGACTATTGGTAAAGGAAGAGTCCATAAAGGACATAAGAACACAAAGCGCTTCAGGGGTGCGGCAGGTGCTCCAGTGGGTTACGCCTCAGCGGCTCTGTGCCTCAGACTGGAAGGACTGGTCACCAGCTTAAGCCCCGGCCTCTGGCAGGATACTGCGGGGCCTCTGAGCGAGGCCCTGACTCCGAGATAGAATGCGGGCAAGACGGGATACACAAAGAGAAGCATAGCTGTACATGGGTGTGTGTTAGAGGAGAGCAAGACGGGATACACAAAGAGAAGCATTGAGTAGCTGCACTGAGATAAAACTAGTGGAAAAATATTATGTATTAACTCCTACCTTAACCATAGGTAACCAAACAAAATATGAAACTTTTGGCATTTTTTGTTTTTTGGTATAAAATCAAAAGTCATATAAATTCATGTGCAGCAGGGAACAATACAGTCGAAAACAGCTGAACTTCTTTCTTGACCTCAATTTTATGAACTGCCCAGGATTGGAGAACCGACAGTCCCAAAGTACTCTGATACAGCATCTGTTTGTACTGCTATTTGTATGGTACATCTGCCAGTAATGCAAAACAATAGACCACTAAAAAACATTCAAAAAGTTTTAACTGAATCCTGTCATGAGTCTAAGGACTGAAATATAATAAAACAGAAAAACACCTTTTGTAAATGATATCATAGGGCTCACACAAACCCGGCAAGGCAGCTGGATGAATTCTTAGCTTTCATATATGCAGCTACACACAATTTTCCCTACAAAGTAATTTATTAGTATTTTGACTACCATTTGCGTGGTGCTTTAGGAAGTAAACTTGTAAAAGAAAAGTTACACATTCAAATTACTGGAAGAGAACAGCATTATTGCACTTCAGAAAAAAGAACTGAACCTGAAATGCTTCAGTAAAAAGAACTGAACCTGAAATGCTTCAGTAAAATAGCAAAGTGTTTGACATTTTAATCTAATTACATCATTTTGGCATTTTTTGCAGTGCAGTGCAGAAAAAAAGATATCAGAGGAGTCTTACAACACCAAGAAACCACAAGGAAAACATAAAATGACGTTTAAGCATAAAAAAGTTACCTTATTGCACATTGGTCTCATTGCTTTCTGAACTTCACACGAACAGAAGGCTGGTCTGTAAAGATCAGATCGCTGAAAAACATGCAGAAACAACATCCATTTTAGACATTTTTATTGCAGGGCCTTGTTGCTGCTTTGCACAATGAAGTTATTCCCCGCCTGGTTTCAGGCAGGAAATGAGAGACACCACACCACACCGTACGTATGTGTGTGTGCATTTCTGTGAGTGTTCCTCTATCTGAACCACCACCCGCTTGCAGACTGCGGTCACTTATGGGTGAGCCTTCTGATCAAAGAGGCAACTTGTCACACTGACATACCCCTTAAAACCCAAGGAAGTACAGGACACAAAAATGATGCCTCAGCCAGCAACTCATTGTAACATTTAAAAAGGAGGCTAGGTTCCTAATCATGTGCATTAAAATGGCGTAACGTGCCCACTGACAAGATGCCTGTTTAAGCCCATTAGTGAACAGCTTATTGATTGTTATACATGAACCAAGATCAGATTTTACCATGTATGAATCATTTAGAAAAGCCCCAGATCTAAAACAACACTTACTGAATAGTCATTAATATACCTTTTTGTGACAGATATTCTTATCAAGCAATAGGAAAGAGGTATTTCAGAGGCATAGCTATTTTACCACTAGTTCTCATAAACGTGAAATGAAACTTAATTTTTATATGTGTTCAAGAGGTTTTTTGTTATGCACCCCAACCGTCACGCATAAATGAACACCTCTTGGCCAAGCATTAAACCATGACCAGAACTGCAGGAGACGAAATCTCGCGATATTATGATTGACCTTAGGAAGGAACGTCATAAAAAATGCTGATCAGCTACGCTGTTTGAACCAGATTCCAGGAACGAAGAATTAGCCACAGTAAACATTATACCTAGCGGTTAGCATGCTGTTTTAGCTTTAAAGGCCAAAGTTTTAGTCATATGTGGCTAAGCTACTGTTAGAGTAACCGGTGTAATTTTAAACTGTATAACAGCGATGCGCTGCCATAAATTAAGTGACAAGGACTGACTTGGAAAGTTTGTTTGTTGTTAGAGTGTCACGTAATTATTTTCTAATCTTTATCACTGTCTGGACGATTCCATTATAGAAATAAACAAACTGTGCGTATTGCTAAAAAGTTAACCTTTATATTGTTGCAAATCATATGACGTTCAGGTTGTAAGTGTGTGTAATACAACTGACTTTGTTTGTAAAACAGATTTGGAAGTACGTTGTTATTTTTGGTATGACTAGGTAGCAGTAATGATTTCATTAAAAATAATGATTACTTTTGCCGCACATAAATAGTAATAAGACTTCAGCTAGAGGAAGGGACGCGCACCCTTCACCGCTCCTTTCGCTCCTTCTTGTTGTTGCACTTGCTTGCGCATTATGCAGCTGTCTTACCCTCCTGCCCCGCTTACTGGCTCCCTCTGCTGGTCACTCCTTGCCGGTCCTCGCTGATCCCTTCACAGACACTTTAGGCCAGGGGTGGCCTGTCTTATCCGTAAAGGGCCGATGTGCATGCAGGTTTTTGGGATAACCTGTATAGGTCAGCTGTCAAACCCAGGTGTGAGGACTCTTCAGCCAATCAGTCCTCTAGTTAGTAATCTAATTAGCGAGTTGCAGCGAAAACCCGCCACACACGCCGGCCCTTTGCGGATAAGATTGGCCACCCCTGCTGTAGGCTAACCGAACTTTCCTTTAGTCCTTTTTTTTACTGCTGTGACTTATACCGTTTCCTCTGTTATACATTAATATTTGAATGGCCAAGTAAATAAGTGTTATTTAAACACAGTTATTCGTGATATTTATTGTTTGGATATACGTATTTCTATTTAATTACCTCTATTTCACTTTTGTCCTATTTGTATTTTTATCGCAGTTATATGTTAAATTGTGTGTGTAATTCTCTACAAGTCTACATCATGCCACGGCCTAAAAGGCTGATGTCCTAGTCGTAGTTCAGACTGCCACCCGCAGCTCCACAAAACTGGGCAACCAACTGCGCCACTAACTCCAAAGGACACCAATACAGCGCTGTACTGGGAGGATCATGGAGACGGACGGGATTTTCCCGCATATCCTGCCATTGTCCCTGCGGTTCAGTGATTTATACGTGAACTGATAATAGATTTTTATTTTTTAAAAATAGTTAAATTGGGAACTACCTAATAATTCTTAATGACTATCAATATTAATGCATTTGTTACCTATATGTCTGTAACGTATAAAGCTATTTGATCTTAACCCGAGTTTTATTTAAATTAGACATTTATACGGTAACCGGTAGGCCTACAATAAGTAGCCTACTGTAGTTGAACCACTTTAATTCAAACTATAAAAACACCTTTAATACTTCCCTTATTTTAAGTACACTTATATAAAATAACCGTTAATGATCGAATTTTAATTTCGGCCAATAATTAAATGGCTAAATCGTGCCGCACATCCATCGGTTGCAGGTTCGAATCCGATCCTAGTTTCCTGCACGCGGAGTCCGCCTCCTCTGTCCATGTTGGTGTGGGTATTCGGGCATTTCAAATATGCAGAAAACGGGGACTGTATTGCATTTAGTGATCATAGGCTATGTGCGCGAGTGCCTCTTGATGGTCAATTTGCAGAACCCCGGCCTTTCATCGACAGAGAAAAAGCGGGGATTTTATGACCCTTAACGCTGGCACCATAATCGACTCGGCTGCACTTCCGAAGGGCTTGGCGCTGTTTGCGTGTTTCATAAAGAATGGATGTGGACTTTAGCACTGGGTTTTATGATCAGCAAAGCTTAGAATGTGATCTTTGTCAGTAAGAAGTGTCGGACATAGGATGCTAACTTAAACGAGAAACAGGTGTAAGGACGGATTAACGAAACAAGGCGGAATTATAGGTAATGTATTCTTTGTTGTGGGTGCTATTCAGAAACAAAAAGAGATGCGTTGCATTCGCTTTGAGTGTTTTAACATTAAAGCAGTGTTATGTAAGACTGAGGAGCTTCACAGGACAGGTGATGGTGTTCTTATTTCACGCTTTTATTCTTTTATATCAAATGTTGAAAAACTCATTTTGTATTGTCGAAAATAGCGTTTGTCTCAGAACATTGAAATAATATCGGAAGATGGATCACCTTACATCTCAGACAACATTTTTGTTCGTAGCAGGTGGATTTGTTTTATCCAGTGCCGTAAAGCAGCGTTTTTAAATCTGTGCTATTATGTTGCCATTTAAAAAAAAAAAAAAAAAATCAAAGACTTTAATTGCATTTAATGAGGTTTTAATTTTACACCCAGATGACGCAAATGCATTTTACCCAGCTCTAAGATGATGACGAACTGTTTTACTGTCTTAGGAGGTAAAAGGTGTGAGCTTATCTTCAGGTAGAGGAGTGTAGTTGTTTGGAAAGTTGGGAGCATTAATTAATCATTCACAAGATAATAACATGGAATTTCGCCAGTAACTGTAGGAGTTTGATAGTTCATTAACTCAGATGTTTGAACCTCTGTTATAATGCTAGCATTCATTGAAGATGAGGTATGAGTAAGGTCAGAAATTATATTATAAAAACCATTGCTAGATCTGACAAAACAATGACTCAAAAACAAGTATATTTAACGATCCAACATCATAACTTAAAATGCTTAAGTTAGTTTTCAAATTATTTATTTCTTCTAAAGTCTCAACTTTACTGCCAAAATCCATCCACCTATCTTCTCAACACGTTTCCTGCTACAAATTCCCAAGAACCTATTCCAGGCACCAGGATGTGATGCCAGTTCCTCGCAGGGCACAGGGCAGGGAACACCCAGGATAGGATGCCAGTCTATCGCAGGGCACAGGGCAGGGAACACCCAGGATAGGATGACAGTCCATCGCAGGGCACAGGGCAGGGAACACCCAGGATAGGATGCCAGTCCATCGCAGTGCACAGGGCAGGGAACACCCAGGATAGGATGCCAGTCCCTTACAGGGCACAGGGCAGGGAACACCCAGGATAGGATGCCAGTCCCTTACAGGGCACAGGGCAGGGAACACCCAGGATAGGATGTCAGTCCATCACAGGGCACAGGGCAGGTAACACCCTGGATAGGAAAGAACCAGAGAACCCAGAAAAGCCACACGAAACACAAGAAGAAGGGGTGGGATTCAGGGAGTGGGGGTGGGATTCAGACCGACTGTCTTTGAGGGATAAGACCAGTGTGGCACCCCAATCAAACAAAGGGGGAAACCATTTGGGATGGCCTTCTAAGAGAGCCACTCAAAACGTCTCCAAACAAGATCCTTACAAGGTCTCTTCAAAATCCAAGATTTCTTCCTTTGTGAATAGATCTCAGTACAAGGAAAAATTCATCTTTGGCAAAAAGCTGTAAGAAAATGTCCTTTAAATTTTACTTAAGCAAAAATAGCAGAGTTAATGTGGCTTCTTATTACCCAGTTACACTATCAGGAAATTATTGTAGATCCTCTGTGGTGTTTTTTGTGCAAGCTACTTTTACGAGGAAAGTGAAGGTGTTGCATTTGGCTGGGAATGTCTTGGTAATTGACCTGTCGATTGCGATTGACCACTTGGAAGCCATTGCTGTATGGGATTCTTTTGGATTAAACATGGTCTGATGAATGTATCAGATGACAAAATCCATAAACTGGCCAAAACGTGGGTGCGAATCATAAGTTAATCAGTAAACATAACATGATCGTTGCTCTTTTGGACATCAGCAGATTTGTTGTTCCATGGCTCACACTCCGAAAAATTTAATAGCAGGCAATGAGAAATTTGCATTTAAAAATAAATTGTCCTTTATATTCAATGAAGTTTACATAATGATAGTGTCTATCAGCCTTACCATTCTCCCACTGAGGTTGATAATCTTTCATTTGTGTGGAATTTGCCATGATTCAAGGAAAGATAATACATTTCCTGAGAATGGCGTGTTTTTATCTCAAGAGGTTCACATTATTAGTAAATGTTGGCCTGTTTAAATGAATGCTTCTTTGTGAGGGGTTACCCGGCTTATTGGTTGGTATGTGTGTTGATTTGGGTTCTGCTGACCCCCCGTGTTAAGGTGAAGCTGGCGTTCCCTTGGTAGGAGGCCACAAGCAGGACAAACGGGGGCAGACCTGGGGGGCCGGAATGCTCACCCTCCTAATAGCTGTAAATGTGTATGACATTTCTGACCATAAACAAAAGCCAATA